CCAAGGCCCTGCTGACCAGCCACAGTGGGGACTCTGGACTGGGCACCCTGTCCTGCTGGAGGTGGAGGGTGGCTAAGGTGGGGGTGGGATGGAACCCCAGGAGCAGGAGCAGCTACTGGGCAGTGCTTATGCTGGAAGGAGATACAATCTCTCCCACGGACACAGACTGCAGGGTCGAGGCTCACCCCTGCGAGCACAAGACGCTGGAGACGGTCAGGGAGCTCACTGGCTACGCCCTGTGCTGGAGAGGATCCCGGCGGACCGATGCCCTGCTGGCTGCACGCTGTCCCTTCTACAGGTTTGTCAGGTCTGGGGCAGAGCCGCCACGCATGTCCTGGAGGCCTGTAGCTCCCAGTGCCTAGGAGTGACAGGGAAACCAGCACTTGGAGGCCTTGTCTGTGCAGCTGGAGATGGAGATAGGAGATCCGGGAGAGGAGCAGGGGTGAGGTTCTGAGGGAACAGGGAGGCGCAGCTACTTGGTGCCAGTCTCAGGTGCCCTAGAGAATGGTCTGGGCTTGCGATATTGGCCAGGTAAGCTGGTTCCTCCGAGCACCAGTTGCCACTTTCTGGGAGCTGAGTGAGGCAAGAGGATTAGGATCCGTGGGCAGATTCCAGTCATGGAGGTGGGGGACTTGCTGTATTCTTTGGGATCGGAGCTCAGGCATTCGAGAGCACCTGCCGCCTGGCCTGGGCCATCCCTCACAGATGCTCCCTTCCCGTGCTGTGCCCTTTGTCTAGACCACCTGTGCTGCTGCACCTCTGTCCAGAGATGGCAGTCCTGTCGCTCACCTTTTCTGGAGGGCCAGGGTAGTGCTTGAACCAGGTGCCTCTCTGCCCCCTTTGTCCTGCCCCCATGGAGGGCTCAGATCATGGCACACAGCAATGAAACGAATTGGCTGAAAAGCCACAGAGCTGTGCTGGGCCCATGGAGAATGCAAAGGTCTTCTTGGCTGGGAAGGGCCATACCCTCATGTAGATCAGGGGAAAGGGGGCCTTGTGTCGTGCAGGGCCACTGGAGGGCCCCTTCGTAACCCAAGATCTCAAGCGAGAGGAGGTGTTTATTTGTTCTCCAGTGACCATGTTCCAAGTGCCTGCTCTGAGCCATGCAGTAAGGAGGTGGGCATAGTTGCTGCCTGCAAGAAGCTGGTGGTCTCAAGGAAGCATTAGACGAGGAAACCAGGGGCCACTGTGAGGCATCCATGATGCTGCGGTGGGCCTGTCTTCACTGGGACATCCGGGAGAAGGGGTTGCTTGAGCGATCTTGAAAATTTGGGGAACTGGTGGCAGTGGGCAGAGGCTTTCAGAGATGGCAGCCGCTGGGAGAGGTTGGTAGAGTGTACTTCCTGGGTTTATAGTCAGATTCTGGGGTCAGCTGCTGAGTTTTCGTTCCTACCTCATCACCAGTAAGCCGTGAACTTCCCGAGGCTGTTTCTACACGTGAAGAGGGGCAGGTGGTAGTACCTACCCTATAGGGTAGTTGAGCGCAAGCAGGAGTTAACAGGTAGAATGGACCGTGTTGCAAACTCTGAGAATGATGCCCACGCGGAGGAAGCTCCTCATGAACTCTGCCATGTGAGAAATCTCACTGAGGGCCTCCTGGGCTCCAGGAACTGCCTGGGTCATGGGAGTCTGCATGATCATCTCAGAAATCTGCCCTGTGAACGGACAGTGCAGGGGGAGTCCACCCCAAGCAAAATGAATATGTAGAATACATTATTAGAGGGTGATACGTGCCTTGGAGGGAAATGACAGCAAGAATAGGCGGAGGTGGTGGGCTGAGTGTGTGGCTGGAGGCAGGGTTGCAACTTGAAAGAGAGTGGCCAGGGAGGGCCTGGCAGACAACGTGCCGTTTGTATCCAGTCCTGAAAGGGAAGGGCAGGTGCGTGCAGATCCAGGGAAGTCCCTGTTGTCAGTGTCTGCCCAGCCATGCTGATTCCCAGCAGGCCTACGCGGGGGAGGGGTGGCCCACGAAGCTTCCTGGACTAGGACTTGTGGCTCTATGAGGTCACTAGGAGGAGGCATGAAAGGGGAGATTTTTCTTTAATGAGCTGACAGCTTGGCTGACTTTTGATTCCAGCAACTTCTTGGGTTCTTAATTGACACAACTTTTATCCCATTTTACCCTGGGGATAGATCCTGCCCTAGAGGTGAGCACAGTTAGGCTGTGCCTGGGGTGGGATTTTGGTGGAGGAAGCCCATTTTGGAGAACTATAAACAACTATTTTTTTTTTTTGAGAGGTTTTTGCTATAGGGCACGTGCGCTCGCCAGACACACAGAGAGAGACAGAGAGACAGAAAGCGAGAAATCACCCCCCAGGGGGGATGGCCACGCTGCAATCCCATCTCCATTCTCCTCTTGGGATCTTGGGCACGCACACACACGCGCCTGGCATGAGTTTAAGCCACCGGGTCTAGGACTCGAACCGCGGTTGACTATGTGGGAGTCTAGTGACATAGTTATTACGCTAACTGCTGGTCCCTTTAGACAACTTTTTTAAAAGGCTGATTTCTTTGCTTCTTTCTTGAGTGAGAGAGAAGAGTGATAGCACCCCCAGCAGGGTCCCCACATTGCAGTCCACTCCCAGCCCAGCCCAGCCCCAGATCACTAGCACGTGTGTACCTGCAACATCCAGGAGGTCTCTAGCCCCCGAATCCCCACGTGGGCCACCTCGCAGAATGTCGTGTTACTGCCGTGCTGCTGTCTACCCCTTTAGAGAACTTTTCACCAGTGTCCAGGTCTCCTCAGGTCATGCCGTACCAGGAGCTATGGCCAGCCACAGCTGGGTGAGGAAATGCTCCTGTGAACACTCCTTCCACTCCAGAGACCCCACAGGGGCAGATGAGGCCTAGAGGGCAGAGTGTGTGGGCTTGGAGCCAGGTAATCAGTTCAGATCCCAGCCCTGCCATGTTCCAGAAGCTGTGTGACCCTGTGTGACCCCCAGCTCCTATCTCAGCCCTCTGCATTTATATCTGCATGGTGGTGGTTACTATCTCTTCAGGTAGCTGTGGATTCCGGGTCACAGAAGGTATAGCTGGCACACAGAAGCCACCTGGGAAGGGTGGCTGTTGGGTTATTACAGAATGTTAGAACTTGGTGGGCCTGAGGGGGTCTGTGATTTACAGATCTTACTGATTTGTGGAACCTCCCATGGACACTGGTTGCATGGGGCAGACAGAAGCAGCACGCTGGGGAGAAGGGACCGTCCTGGGGCACTGCGGAGGGTCTGGTACCTTGACTACTCAGTCCCCTTCCTTTACCATCCAAACCCCAAGAAATGCTGGTGAAAACTACAGATGGAGTTACTATGTAAAAGATAGAATTGAAGATCAGAGAAGGAAACTAATATGCCTAGGGCCTCACAGCCAGAATTCAGTTACCTAATTCCCAGCATCTTTCTCCTTACCTCTTCTGGGTCTGAGAAAATACCTTGTAATAAAAAGCCATTCCCATCATTCGGTCTTACACATAGATAGCTCTGTCTTTGAATGTGATAGCCAGCTTACAGTGTTTTTTTAGACTGCCTCAGTAGTTTGTGCTGATAAACAGTAGGGTAGAATTATGAAAGATGACAAGGAAGCTTTTTAGATTCACTTTCGGCCTTGGGTTCTTCTCTGAGCATTTAGTGTTTTAAATAATCTTGGGTTTCTGCCCTCCTTTAAACCTTTGATCTCTCTCCCACTGTTTCCTTGGCGTGTAGCTGGAAGAGAGTGTTCCTAACTCACCCTACCACCTGCTACAGGACCACCTGCCCAGGTATGGTCTTCCCCTTCCATTCATTGGCTCTTTCTGGGTCCAGGCTGGTTTGTAAGGAGTTTTTACAATTTGGGGATGGAGGGTATGGCTGTGTCTAATTCCAAAGCAGAGGATCGAGCCTTTGGGAGGTGGAAGAGGACGCTCACCCTGGTCTCATTCCCTGCTTGCTCAGTGGCATTTTTTCACTGAGAATGGAGTGATGTCCTTGGGATTACTTGCATTGGTGAGAGGCAGGGGAGGGTACCTGCCATGCACCCCTTCACAGACAGCCTCAAATCCAGTGCTAAACTCAGGACAGGATACCTGAGTGGTTTCCTCTTCTATAAAATGGGGCAATGTTTGCCCAATGCCTGGAATCCCCATTTCCCCCTGTATATGATGGGGTATCATCCAGGGTCCTAGGTGCTCTGTCAGCTGTAAAAGTCCCAGCAAACCAGCATTATCAGCACCACTGTGTATTGTTCAGCATGGGTTCTGCGTGGTCCCCACTGTGTCCTCACTGCCCCTCACTGCCCCTCACGCTCAGGACTAGTGTATCCCGCTGATCGGGGAGCAAAAACATGCACCCAAGTGTGTTGACATCAATCCGAGTGTGTTTGCTTCTCTTGATGAGATAAAGAGCCTGTCTTCTAGAAGCAGGGCCAGTAACTTTATACACAGACAGAGGTTGGGCGAGCCCCTTGGCATGCTCTTCCAAGGTTTTAAAATTCCAGCATCACTGGCTTCTTGAAGTGCAAGAGAAACTGACAGTGGGTCTGTTTATGCTCACAGATTATGAGGACTTACGGTTTTGAGGACTTATGGTTTTGGAACCAGAGACCTGGGTTTCATTCCTAGCTTGGTCCCTTACCAACTGTCTGACCTTCAGCATGTAACTTCTAGTCAATGAGCTTCAGTTTCTAGTCTATAAAAATAAATTTTAAATAGTATCTAGGCCACAGAGTTATTGCGATGATGAAATGAGACTATGCATGTATTGTGTTTAGCACAGTATCTGGTACATAGTAGATGCTCAGTTTAAAGGCCACTGTGGCCACTGTGGGACCCACAGGTACCTCCATGGTGCCCCAACTGCCAGAAGAGCAGGTCCAAGGAGGTGCCCAGAAGCAGCCTCAGAAAGGTTTGACCTTTGATAAGTCTGCACTTTAATTACAGTGGTGTGACCACCAAGCAACATATTAATATTTTAAATGAGAAAAGATGGAAGCCGCCAATCCCATGGGTAGCCACTGCTTGCCAAGCCCTTTGAATCCGTGAATACATGAGGCTCCTGTTTGTTTTCTATGACCCTGGGAGGGAGGCCGTGTAGCATCACCTGTACTCTGTAATAACTGATAAGGAAATAGACAAGGCGCTCAGGTACTGACCACAGGGTACCACAACCAGACACTTCAAAATAGGCACAATTTTTTAAAAAATTAAACTTTATTTAGTTTTCAAATTTGACCAGAGAGGGACAGAGTCAGAGAGATATAACAGGGAAAGTACGAAAGCAAGCTGCCAGGTCTGGGACTCAAACCGGGGTCAGCCATGTGGGAGTCCAGCACCGCCAACCACCATGCTACCTGCTGGCCCCAGAATAGGCATGATTTTGACATAGGCTGTTGTTCCCTGTGTAAAAGATCAGCTTTCCTTGCAATTTGCACTTCTCATGCGAAAACAAACACCACATCACCCGTTACGAAGTGTTTGCTTCGTGCTAAGACTTTCCATGAACTCTTTCATTGAATCCTCTCAGTAACGCTGTGGACCAAGTTCAGTTATCATCACTCCTTTTTACGAGGCTACTGAAGTTTAGAGGAGTTAGTTAGGGTGCCAAAGAATTGGAAGAGGCCGCGATGGCTGAGCAGCCCTACTGCAGGGTCCGGAGGCCCCTGCTCTGCTGTGGCAGGACCCAGAGGCTGTGCAGAACAGCCACATCTAGAACTCGAAGAACAAAGGGCACCACAGTGCTGCAGCGTTTCCAGAGTCTGAAAACACCCATCCTGTCACCCCGATGGCTGTGAAGTCCTCACTCTTGTCAGGCTCAGGGCCAACACTAGTTGCTTCAGCAGTGGTGAGGACTTAAGACCTGTGTTCCTGGGATCAGAGCTGGGAGCCAGGTCCTGCTGGTGCATCCTGTGTGATCCTGACCCACAGTCCCCAGTAGGCCATACCAAGCCCACACTGAGGGTCTCTGAGCAGCTATGCCCGGTGCCTCCTTTCTGTGCTCATTCATTCTAGCCCTTTGCTGCCATGTGTGTTGTGCCTGGTTTCCTGGGGGACCCTGGAAGAAGGAAGGGACTGAGCCCTGGGGATGTGTGTGTGAGGGGAAGCAGGGTGACCTATGGGACACACACCTCCAGCTGGACCCCTTCACTCCTCTGTGCTGGAGTGCTGGGCTGTTAATGGGCATCTCTCTGACAGGCCCTTGTGACTCGCAGCCCTGCCAGAATGGAGGCACATGTGTTCCTGAAGGACCGGACCAATACCACTGCCTCTGCCCACAGGCCTTCGGAGGGGAGGCTAACTGCGGTATGTATGCACAGGCCCTCCGGGTCTCTGGCCATGGGGAGCAGGGAGACATGGGCTCCCCCCTCCTCTCCCACTCTCGTAGCTGGTTGGTAGAACCTGGCCTTCGAGTTTTAGGATCACCTCCTTTCCAAGCACATCACTGCTCTGACCTTCAAACGTACAGCCTGTGAGTGCCGCACGTGTAACGACCCCGGGGTGGCAGCTGTGGGGAGGACAGCGGCTCCTGCTCCTCCGCGGTAGAATGGCCTGCTTGATGGTCACACATCGCCGAGCCCTGCCCAAGTCTGGAGGCCATGCATCTCGGGGTCTAGTTCTGGCCAGTCTTTTCTGCTCTCTTCTGTAGGAGAGGAGCAAGGAGCCCCTGACACGTTCTGGCTTTAATGGTGTGAAATGATGGTAATAGGCTTCACCTCGTAGGGTGGCTGAGAGTTTTTAATAAAGTTATGTGTGTTACGTGCTTGGCACCATGCTTGACATGCAGTAAGAGTTTTTGTTGTTATTGTTTTTGTGGGTGTTGTTTTATTTTTTTGAGAGTTTTTTTTTTTTTTCTACAGGGTACGTGCGCTTGCCAGAAAGACAGAGAGACAGAAAGCGAGAAATCACCCCACAGGGGGGGATGGCCACGCTGCAATCCCTTCTCCTCCATTCTCTCTCAGGATCATGGGCACACATGCACACGCGCCTGGCGTGAGTTTAAGCCACCAGGTTTGGGACTCAAACTGCGGTCAGCTACATGGGAGTCCAGTCACATAGCCATCATGCTACCTGCTGGTCCCGAGTAAGAGTTTTAATACCTTCTTTTAAAAGGTGGATTGCAGTTAGTTGTAGACCTATATATAAAAATAAATAAATAAATAAAGAGTGGCCCTATCTACCCCGAAATCGCTCCTAGATGGATTATACATCTAAATGTAAATGACAAAGCAGTGAAGCTTCTGGAAGAAAACAGAGCATGTCTTCATTGTCTTGAGGTAAACCAAGATTTCTCAGGGCATAAAAAGCACTGTTGTGGAGAAAAGTTATAAAATGGATGAGGTTTTTTCTTTTTAAAAAGTGGTTGGATCAGGCCAGCCGGTGGCTCGGTGGGAAAGGCAGTAGATCCCACAAAGCCAGCTTCACGGTTCAAGCCACCACCCAGATTCGCTAGCTTGAACAACATGCCAGTTGTATGTACAAGTACACCCAAAATCCTAACAGGAGGTGGGTGAGAAGGGATTGTAGTGTGGCCGTCCCCCTTGGGGAGGGTGCTTTCTCATTCCTCCTGCACCATTCTGTCTCTCGCCAGTGAGCCCATGTGGCCTATAAATTAAAAAATAAATAAATAAATAAAAAGAAAGAAAGAAAAAACAAACAAACAAAAAGCAGTGGTTTAATGGAGACAGCAAGAGCCAGGAGAGAGAGCTCCATGCTTGGGCTTGTCTCCAAGTCATGAAGAGCACTAGTCACTCAAGCCCCTGGGGCTTCAGCGTCTCCGTCCATGTCCCTTCTGGGAGGGGTTTCTCCTACCTCATATGCATTTGGGCATCCTGGGTGGGGCTGACGTGCAGGCCCAGTGGCCTCAGCCTGACGGTGTCGCTGTGATCCTCGCAGCCCCCAAACTGAGCCTGGAATGCAGAATCGATGTCCTCTTCCTGCTGGACAGCTCTGCGGGCACCACCCTGGAGGGCTTCTTGCGCGCCAAGGCCTTCGTGAAGCGCTTTGTGCAAGCAGTGCTGAATGAAGACTCTCGGGCCCGCGTGGGTGTGGCCGGATACAGCAGGGAGCTGGTGGTGGCCGTGCCCGTGGGAGAGTACCAGGATGTGCCAGACCTGCTCCGGAGCCTCGACGGCGTTCCCTTCAGTGGGGGCCCCACTCTGACGGGCAGTGCCTTGCGGCAAGCCGCAGACCATGGCTTTGGGAGTGCCATCAGGACAGGCCAGGACCGTCCACGCAGAGTGCTTGTCCTATTAACTGAGTCGCACTCCGAGGACGAGGTGGCTGGCCCAGCACGTCATGCCAGGGGCCGAGAGCTGCTCCTGCTGGGCGTGGGCAGCGAGGCAGTGCAGGCAGAGCTGGAGGAGATCACGGGCAGCCCGAAGCACGTGATGGTCTATGCAGACCCCCGGGACCTGTTCAACCACATCCCGGAGCTGCAGGGGAAGCTGTGCAGCCGACCTCGGCCAGGTGAGGACAGGGCGCCCAACCCGGGGGCCAGCCAGTCATGGATGGGAAAGGCCCTCCCTTGTGCCCAGTTTGCCATTCTTCCCTCTCTTCCTGAGCAAGGGCCTGAAACCACAGCCCCACTCACCACACGGCACGTAAGGTCTCAGCTTGTCAATACCATGAGGCCAGTAGTAGCACCTACTGAGAGGCTTTTTGTAAAACAAGTAGCACACTCAGTACAGAGGAAGCACACAAGAGCATTTCTACCCCTTTCCTCTCTGGCTAACACCTTACATTAGTAGTGCATGTAAGAATTCCTGAACTAATATTGACTCATTATTTTCTAAGTCCACACTTCAGTCAGACTTCCCTACTTTTTACCTCATATCCTTTGTCCCAGGATCCCATCCCGGACCCCGCAGTACATTTGGTCAGCTTTTTCCTTAGGTTCCCGTGGTTACAGTAGTTTCTAGGCTTTTCTTGTGCCCAGCATGGTTTTAGAAACCAACACATCGGGTCATGAGATCGCCTTGCTTCTTATTTAAACCTTTGCAGTGACTTCCTTCTGCACTTGGAATCAAACTAAACTTGCCCTGCTCTGGGAGCTCCCTGTCTGGTCCCTGCAGGCCTCCCTGCAGCCCCTCCCCACTTCCACAGAAGTACCCCTCCCTGCCAGCTCACTCTTGCCTGTTCTTCAGTTCTTAGCTGAACCAGCACCTCCCCAGAGATGCCCTGACCTCTCCCCCCAGTCTCACAATGCTGCCCCTGCTGGTCTCTCTCATAGTTCTCCTTTCTACACTACTCCCACTCTCTGTAATTCCATGTTTGTTTCACGGCTGTCTCTGCATAAACTGTCAACCCACCAAGGGCAGGCATTGGCCGCTTGATCCATGGTGTGAGTGCCTGGTATTTAGTGCTTGCTAGTGGGATGGAGGAAGGCACAGGTGGAGAGGCTGTCACTGTCACCTAATGCTGGGTTTTATATGATAGGAGTTTCTCTCTCACATACAGTTCAGAAGTGAGTGGTGTGGCCACATTCTGATTTCTGCTTTGAGGTTCAAGGCTATCACTTCTCTGCCAGCAAGAAGCAGCAAAGGGAAGTGGAGGGCCAGCAGCTCCCACTTGCACAGGTTTGGAATCACACAATTTCGAACATGGAAATTGTATAGTTACTTCTGATCACAGCCCGTCAGACACAGCGTAGACATGTAGTCACACCTAGCCACTAGGGAGGCCAGGCAGCGAAGAC